TGCCCAGCTGGGGGTGACTGTCATGTTTGAATAAGGTCTCTTCAGCCTCTCCCTACTTCCACACTTGATCCGGCGCCGATGAATGGCCTGTGAGAGTTTGTCTCGTCAAATATGTTGGCTCTATTCGAATCTTGGTAGTTGGTGTGTCTATCAAGGGGAGCAATTGGCTAGCTATTGGTACATTAACTTTTATATCTTATGTGTTTCTGTCGCATAGTTTGGTTTCTCCAACTATCTGGACGTGTGGTGATGGATTGCGCACCTGTACTATGTAGGGTGCTGCTCCAACAGATACCGATGTTTCTTTAGCGACTTCTAGATCTCATTTCAAGCTATTGTGATCTTTAAGACTAGTATGAAGGTAACTTTTATGAGTCCCTTTTGGTTTATTGTTGGTTGAGTGTGATTTATAAATCTGACAAAAGAAGTCTTGTACGGTATTTTTTTCCAACTATAATTTTATTTTTAACAGGTTGTTCCACCTGTTTTCCTTCATAATTATTACTGTCAGATCTAATGTTGGCCCTCAAACCATTCGCAATCGTCCAAACCACATGATTTAGACGTGTTTTGCCATCCAATGCGAGTCTGTATAGGTTCGCCGATCGGTCTGAATGTGTTTTCTCCCGCAAACCGAAAACAAAGTGGGGTGGGGGGCTTTGTGAAGGAAGTATGCCCCAAAGAGAATAATAAAGTTGTTATTTATATTTCCTTATATCATGATAAATGTTTATCATTCATGCTAGAATTGTATTAACCAGAAACTTAGTACATGTGTGAATACATAGACAAAACATAGTGTCCCTTGTATGCCTCTACTTGACTAGCTCGTTAATCAAAGATGGTTATGTTTCCTAACCATAGACATGTGTTGTCATTTGATGAACGGGATCACATCATTAGGAGAATGATGTGATGGACAAGACCCATCCGTTAGCTTAGCATTATGATCGTTACAGTTTCATTGCTACTGCTTTCTTCATGACTTATACACGTTCCTCGGACTATGAGATTATGCAACTCCCGAATACCGAAGGAACACCTTGTGTGCTATCAAACGTCACAACGTAATTGGGTGATTATAAATATGCTCTACAGGTGTCTCCGAAGGTGTTTGTTGGGTTGGCATAGATTGAGATTAGGATTTGTCACTCCGTGTATCGGAGAGGTATCTCTGGGCCCTCTCGGTAATGCTCATCACTATAAGCCTTGCAAGCAACGTGACTAATGAGTTAGTTGCGGGATGAAGCATTACGAAACGAGTAAAGAGACTTGCCGGTAACAAGATTGAACTAAGTATGATGATACCAATGATCGAATCTCGGGCAAGTAACATACCAATGACAAAGGGAACAACGTATGTTGGTATGTTGTTTGACCGATAAAGATCTTCCTAGAATATGTAGAAGCCAATATGAGCATCCAGGTTTTGCTATTGGTTATTGACCGGAGATGTGTCTTGGTCATGTCTACATAGTTCTCGAACCCGTAGGGTCCGTATGCTTAATGTTCGATGACGATTTGTATTATGAGTTATGTGTTTTGATGACCAAAGTTTGTTCAGAGTCCCAGATGAGATCACGGACATGACGAGGAGTCTCGAAACGGTCGAGACATAAAGATTCATGTATTGGAAGGCTACATTC